GAAAATGATCTGCATGACAGACATTACATGGAATGAATCGCAGACCCCTAAAACTGCAAGAACCCCAACAGCTTGAGATTCAGAGCCTGACGTTGCCCAATTATGAGAATGGTGGAGCATCTACCATAGAATCAGCCCTGTCAGTCTATTTAAGCCTAAGAGGATAATTAGCAGCAAACCCCCTTTCCCAGCAATCCACCAGATACAACCGTAATGTGCAGCTGAACATTTGTTTCAGATTACAGGGCATGAGCACTCATGATTTTTTGAGTTTCATTTTTGTTGAAGCGAATATATCAGACGTAAGCAGCCGAAGACCATCGGCCCAGAGACTTAAGGGAGGGCATGGGCACGAGCAGCGCTGCAGTTGTAGCTGCCCCAATTTGGAGGGAGCGAGTAGTGTACACCGTTGGACACAGCCCACAACTCGAGCAGAGTTCACGCAGCCTTGCGGAAAACCAAGATCTGGTCATGGGCTTGCTGCCATCAATGGTGAAAAGCGGGTCACTCGGAGCAGGTGCAGGTCGGGTTTTCAGGTAGCTCAGCATGGAGGCGAAAGGACAGAAAGCAGAATTAGTTTTTGCAATCACCACAGGCGTTCCTTTATTCATCCTATCTGTCTTAGAATATTTTAAATAAACAGTGAAATGATCAGATTCTAATATTAAATTATAGCTGCTGCGCAGCGATGGGTCAGGTCCGGGCATTTTTAGGCAATTCTGAGCAACAAGCAGAAGAATTGGAAGACATTTAGGAATTTAGAAACACAATCTGCCTTTTGCATCAGCTGAGGCTTGAACTCACAACCTCTGAGACTAAGAATCAATTTCTATCTCACTGAGTTAATTAGTCGGTGACAATTCATGTGTAGCTTCACAAATTGACTAAGCCAGATGTGCAGGTTTAGCAGCGGATCATGCATGGAAAAACAGATTTCAAACCACTGTAAAAATTCAGTTTCAAAACAAAAATCTGAAAATACACATATTGCATCTAGAGCAGCTCCATGCAGCATGGAGATGTTGGTAATTCATTTTAACAATGATTAATTTGCTTCATAAGTGAAAAACTGATGTTTAACTAGTTGAGCTATGTGCAAAGTGAGAAGCCTCAGATGGTTTCACACTGAAGTATTGACACTGGATCTTTGTGCAAAGTTCAGTTTATTTTCAAGCATGAGAAGGCAGATTTTCTAGCAGAAAAAAGACTTGAAGTTGTTGCACAGTGATCAGTCATTCTCAGGCAATTTTAAGCAATAAGCTGGAGCACAAGAAGATGTTTACATTACAATGTGGATTCTGCACCAGTTGAGGCTCGAATCCGCAACCTCTGGAACCTAAGATGGTCATCTACCGCTCTGAGCTAATTGGCAAGTAGCAACTCAACAGTGGCTTCACAAATTGAGTAAGCCATTCACTGTTGTGTAGGAAAGCAGCCTTGCCATGCATGGTAAGGCAGATTTGAAACCACTGTAAAAAATTCAGTTATTAGGACAAAAATCTGAAAATACACATATTGCATCTAGACAGCATGGAGATGTTGGTAATTTGTTTGTAACAATGATTGATTTGCTCCATAAGTGAAAAACTGATGTTTGAAATTGCCATTTTTACATTGACTCCAATTGTTCACATTAGAGCAAAATTCAAAATGCTGTCAAAAATTCAGTTTTTGAGATAAAATTCTGAAATTTGCCACACATCATCTATCATGACTCTAGAATTTTGTCATTTTTTTCATGAACAACATGAACAGATTTATTTAGCAAGAATTTGCATGTATATGTTTACAGTACTGTTTACAGTAAAACATTTTGATGCACTGTAGGCTCAATTTTTGATAAATCAAAAATCTGAGAAACATAGTTTTTGTAGGACAGTCTGAAGATGCTCTGTAACAAGTTTGGTGTCAACTGAGCAAAAATTGTGGGAGGAGATAGGTTTAAGAAGTTTTACAGTTTTTGAAAAAAACAGTGATGAACTTCATAATTTTTAATAGGTTTAGGTGTAGAAAAGTTTCTTCAGTATTGGGGCTACAGTTTGATGAAAGTTGTGAAGTTGTAGCACGTATGGTTGATTAGTTATGAATTTTCCAATTTTTGAACTTTAGACACTTGCTGTAGTGCCACCATCAGGACTATTGGCTTTAGTTTACAGCTGAGGTAATCTGGCATGAGACTGGACCTTTGTGCAAAGTTTGGTGAGTTTTCACCCATGGGAAGTATGATTTCCTCGGAAGAAGAAGAAGAAAGAAGAAGAAGAAGAATACCTAGGATTACAATAGTGTCCAGGCAGCTTAGCTGCCAGGACCCTAATCAGAAAAACAGAGGTCGTGCAGAGGGTTGAAAGAAAGAGACCGAGTGGTGAACTCCCCACACCTCATGAAACCATAAAGCGCCATTAAAAGAACAGCTCCAACATTTGTTAACATTAGTGAGTGAACAGCCCGGATCTTAACTTTGAAATCATTCTGTGCACCAAGGAGATAGTGAGAGGTAAGCGTTTATCATTGCCTGGAGGTCGCTCTTTTTTGAGGCCATTGAGAAGCAGGCGAATGCTGGGATGCGTTAACAGGCTACAGACTGAAGGATCTTGACAGTGAAGATGAAATTGAATGCCAGCTATCATGGCTTTAATGGAGAGAGGCTGCAACTTACGGGACTCAAAAGAGTGGACTATAAATGTGCAAACGAAGGGAATATTGACTGGCAAGGGTGGGCAAGCAAAACGAGCACAGGAAGAAGAGAAAAACCACCAAGCAGAATCATAAGTTTTTAATGTGTTCTTTGATAGACCTTTCCTCATGTATTTGGCAGCATAATTTAGCAGAGAGGGCAGAGGGCCGTTGCATCCTAATCTAGAATGACTTGAGAGAACGGAGGGCAGGACAGGCCACTGGGCTTGGCGTTTGGACACAGGGTTTTGAATTTCTGAAATTTAAAATGAGAGAGAGCATCAGCTACACTGTTGTCATGACCAGGAATATAGACAGCACACATTAAAAAATTACCTGTCACTCATGTCCAGGTGAGGCATCTGAGAAAACGATTAATTGTGGGCGTCTTGGAGCGCCCCTTGTTAATCATGTTACCAGCAGCTTCATTATCGCACAAGACTACAATCTGTTTCCGAGACCATTTGCTGCCCCACAAGAGGCTTGCATTAGTACACTGTCTAACATGATATCTAAAAACTTGATGCACGTACTGGGACCGACAGTTTTTTCTTCGGACAGGGGCACTCCGAGAGATGAAAAAACATTTCTGACAGTTGATATGCAACGAGCTGGGGGCGAAGATGGAAAATCGACCACTAGGAAATCGTCTAGGAGATGCAGGACAAATGATAATTTATAGGTATTATACAAAATCCAGCATAAAGCCTCCGATAGTGTCTCAAATATGCGATGGCTGTTTCGGCATCCGAAGGTTAATTTAACTGCGAAATAAACCTCGGAGCGCCACTTGGAGTGGCATCACTTTAAAAGCATTAGTAATTCCAGCTTTCCCTAGCCAAGCACCTTGCCCTGCAGATTTAAAGGATAATTTCGGTATTTTTCAACCTGGGCCCTATTTCCCCATGTGTATGTGTGCGTATGATTCATAGGTACAACTCGTTCTAAAATTGATTCAGTATTGAGGGAGACGGATGCAGCCGGGAACCGCGAAACGAGCTACAACGGTAATGGGGGCAAATGCATCCCGTATAAGTTTGCGCATTAAAAGTGCTTTTTTCGCCACTGACTGGTTCAGATCGCCAGTGTAATCTCTGTAAATAGCATAGTAAACGTTTCCCTTACCCTTCACTTGCTCTGGGCTGTGACGTCATCTCGCGAGAGCTTTGCTTGTTGCCGGAAGAAAACAGAGGAGCCATGCTGAGCGCTGCTCTGAGTGTCGCTGGTTGTCCTGGAGTACAGTTGATAGTTTTACTGTATCGATTGAAAACAATGGTTCGTGTTTGTGCTTATCTGAATTGCAAGAACAGGATGTCGCGCAACACCCCGTACAGCTTTCATAGGCTGCCTTTGTCGGACGGCGAGATGCTGAAGTTATGGCTAGTTGTGCTACAAATGGATGCTAACACTCCTGTCCAGACACTGCGCCTTGCAGACCATCGGGTCTGCAGTGCTCACTTCTCGCAAGATGACTACTGCCAGCTGAAGAAGAGAAGACATCCAATCCCGAAACACCTCTTCTTCAAGAAAACGGCTGCCCCACGAGTAGAGAGAGCTACAGACACAGTAGAGCAAAGCTCTCGCAAGATGACGTCACACACAGCCCAGAGGTAAGGGAAACGTTTACTATGCTATTTACAGAGATAACACTGGCGATCTGAACCGGTCAGTGGCGAAAACACTTTTAATGCACAAACTTATACGGGATGCATTTGCCCCCGTTACCGTTTTAGCTCGTTTCGCAGCTCCCGGCTGCATCCACTTCTCTCAATACTGAACCAATTTTAGAACGAGTTGTACCTATGAATCATACGCACACATACACATGGGGAAATAGGGCCCAGGTTGAAAAATACCAAAGTTATCCTCTAATCATTTGAATCACGTTGTCAACCGTAGCATAGAACAGAGAAAATGGAGCGAGAGGAATAAGGCTATTATTACTCGGAACAGGACCATTACGTGGAGTGGACAAATCTATGACGTTTCAAGACGTTTTTTCCCCAAGTATTTGCGAGTAGCTACACCTGACCCTGAACGGACTAAAAGGAGGTTTGGAAAATGGACCTATCATGAACCCTTTCTTAATCTCCTTCTCGAGCAGCTCGTCTACAACCTTAGGCTCCTTAAACGCTGATTGCAGATTTTTACACACAGATGTTTTAGGAAGCCAACAAAGGCCGGCTAAAAACCCCTGAACAAGTCCAGTTATTAGATAATTGACAATAGATCTGATAGGATGATTTCTGAGAGTCTTAGAGAGAGCCGGGACATTCACAGGCGTGGAGGGATGAGCTTGAGCAGAATTTATTTCTCTGATTTTGCAGGACACACCCGTCTTGGGCACACAGATCTCGGGTGGCTGTCTGCGCACCAGCTGCAAATATGCAAATATTTACAGTTGCGGTAAGTACAGACATTTTCGTTAAAATTGATACATATAGGAGTATTTTTAACAGGTAAATAAGGCACCTGAGATTTACTTGCGGCAGGACCTGTAGCTTGGAGCCGAGGAGTATTGGCCTGAAACGCAGTCTTAGCACATAGAGTGGGGCTGTGGCTTAATGATCCGCAAATAGAGCATGATGAGGCTTGATGTCCGGTGAAGTGTCTGCTTATTAAAGCTAGATCTACAACTAACCAGTCTATCCGTTGATTAAATTTCTGGATGTACATAGTGGATTTAGATGAAAACCTCTTGTGGTACTCGTAGAAAAGAGTCTCTCCATAAGACATAGCCAAATCAGAGATAATAGCAAGGTACGAGTCCAGCTCTTGTCTGCCTTCAGGAAAGGCTTCACAAATAGTGTCTCTAAAGACACCAAAAGCCACATTGAACTCGGCTAGTGTCAGTGATTTTGTCAGTCTAGGGTCATTATCCTTTAAAAAGATAGAGAAGTCGCCGCAGTCCACCATCCGTTTATCTGATGTGTCAGAATCAAAATCTTGACCAGATTAACGTCCTGCCCTAATAAAAACAAGCAAGCATAGAGCAATCAGATTAAAATGCGAACATGGCAATAAAAAAAAAGAAAATCAAGAACTGAGCTGCATACCTGCGATAATCTGGTTCCTGAGAGCATCAGGAATAGCCCCAGCTGGGGACAGGAACGGCACACCCGTAGTTGGCGCAGGAACTGCAGTTCCCAGAGTCCTCCGGGGCAAGGACAGGGGAAGTGGAGCCTGCTGAGGTGGATTCAAGCACAACAAGATGATTATTCACGCTTAGGATTTAATATCAGACAGAGCCGCCCAAACAGGAGCTGCCCATTGGTCCGACATCCCATTGTTCCGACCATATTAAACCCATTGTTCCGAAGTCCGTTACAAAATCATCATGATGCCCTGTGGTTAAGGTCTGGTTAGGTTTAGGCACAAAAACCACTTGGTTAGGGTTAGGAAAAGATCATGGTGTGGCTTAAAATGAAAAAGAAAGTGACAAACACATAAATCGTGAGCCTGCTTCACCTCAAGCCTTTCCCAGCTGACCCAGAGCCGGTCGCGGCGCACCATCAAGGCAGAAATACGCCCACCGGAGCCGTTCAGCACCGCAGACCGTCGGACTAATGGGATGTCGGACCAATGACATGGACCCGAACAAACGCCTGAGTGGAAGACAATTTCCCCTTCTTCCGGGGAGTGTAAGTGGACTTCGCCACGTGTTTTTTGGCAGGGGCTTTCCCCTTCTTGCTTTTCGTGGCGGAGCCCTCTGGCTCTGGATCTTCAATCGCACCGGGAATGTGCTCTATAAGAAACTGTAGACTCTCTGAACTACACTCCGTAGTAGAGAAACAAGATGGGTGCAATCTCACAGTGGTGCCGGATATGTCTGCACAGCTTCGTTCAAGGCGGACCGAGTTTTGTCCATTTAGACAACAACTACACCGGCTGAATATCAAGACCTATATGCGACACCCGGCAGATCAGATCCTTGGAAGAGGCCAAGGTTGAGTTGAAACGAAAATACTCAATCCATTAAATGACTGATTACGTAAGGGGATCTCAAAGACTGAGTCAAGACAAGGGTCGGTATGAACTGATAAGAATTGTGGACTGATTCATGCATACACACACTTAAAGGAATAGTGCACCCAAAAATGAAAATTCAGCCATTATCTACTCACCCATATGCAGAGAGAGGCTCAGGTGAAGTTTTAGAGTCCTCACATCCCTTGCAGAGATGGGGCTAGCCACAAAACTCCGCCTAATGGAGGCTGGGTGCCCCAGATTGAAACATCCAAAAAACACATAATTGAAACAATAGAATATCTCCATACTGCTTGTGCGTAGTGATCCGACATAAAAAGTTGTTTGGATAAACGTCATTTAAACTCTGTTTTTAGCCTCATTGTAGCCTGTAGCTCTAACTGCCTCTATGTAGACCGAGCTCAAGTGTGTGCGCTTGCGCGAGACCGCTAGACATCGGCACAGCCTTCATGTGTGTTCACGTGCTTTCGCTGGTCTTGCACACAAACACGCACACGTGAGCTCAGTGTACACAGAAGCAGTTAGAGCTACAGGCTACAATGAGGCTGAAAACAGAGTTTAAATGACGTTTTTCCAAACAACTTTTTATGTTGGGGCTTCAGGACACTAAGGATCACTACGCACGAGCAGTATGGAGATATTCTGTTGTTTCAATTATTTTTTTGGACGTTTTAATCTGGGGCGTCCAGCCTCCATTAGGTGGAATTTTGTTGCTAGCCCCATCTCCGCAAGGGATGTGAGGACTCTAAAACTTCACCTGAACCTCCCTCAGCATATGGGTGAGTAGATAATGGCTGAATTTTCATTTTTTGGTTGGGAGATGTCTGAGGGGCTTGATGGGATGAGACGGGATGGGGGGAGGCTTCTCTCTCTCTCTCTCTCTCTCTCAGCCCTTTAGTTGGTAGGATGCTACTTAGAAACCTTTCTTCTCACTAGTTATCCCTGTATATATTTTTTTTTTTTTCTTCTCTTTTTTCCAACAGCATAATTACCTTTTCCTTTTTCCCCTTTTTCTTTTGTGGTTTAGGGAAAGAAGTATGGAAACATGAAAGGGAGCCTAGCCTACTTGATTTGCTATTTAAGCAATATCACACAAGAGGGAGTGATGTTGTACTGTGATATCGTCACGGCTGTGATTCGGTAGGCCTCGTGCCTACGACCAAATCACAGCCGTGACGATATCACAGTACAACATCACAAGCTTGAGTGTGATATTGCTTTTATACAACAGTTCAACAGTTAAATAAGCAAGGCTGATTAAGAAATGTTGAAAAATGAGGACAAAATAGATAATTTAAGCATTTTATTTGTCTTCCACCAATAAAAATAGTTCCCTCAGGACTCCGCTGTCACTGTTGCTATGTAATGTAGACATGGTGCGCCAGGCACTTACTCTTTATACACATTTATCTGCACGTTTCCATTAATTGTGCAGCCGGTGAAATAAGTCTCTAGTGACTGCATGGTGGACTGTCGCTTCACAGGCACAGCCGACTCTGCCTTCTGATCTGACAGTATGTTGCTTTTCTCCAAGTCATTGAGCTCCGCTGATGAAACACTGACAAACCTGGATGTATGCCCAGATGGATTCAGCTTCTCCTCTCCCTCATCTTCCTCTGATGACCATTCATAGTTCAATTCAAAACTTATTTTAGGAAATAAATCCATATTTTTGGCTGTTTGACAGTGGATGAATTAATTAGCCTACAATGCAATTGCTGACCTTACTGACACTAACCGTCAGTTTTGATTTGATTGTTGATTGCAATCAGCTGTGAGGCGGAGTGATACATACACAGTGAAATAACCATGATGTTGTACTCCAATATCATCACGGTTTTACTATCTCTCGACCAATCAGATTGCAGGGCCGGAACTAACTGTTGTATAAAATAGATTAATGGCTTTAGGGTATTGCCTATATAAAAAAATATTTTTATGTAATTAGTTTGCTGGTCACTTAACCTCTTTGTCCTGTTTCTGTTAAAGGTTGAATTATGTTTGTTTGAATTTAAATCTCTTAATGTCAATTAAGAACAGCAGAGACTTGGGGACCTCTGGTAATTTGTAATAATTGCGGAGGATGTCTGTGATCTTAATCCCGTGCAAATGCGGCATGTCTGTAATTTGTAAAGTAAAAATTCCACCGCAAATTACCTACTATATTTCGCCAAACACAGACATCCCGTGATAATACTAGTCCTGTGCGAATCTGCATTTCAGTGATTGGGGGGTTGTTGTTGTTTTTATTGCGCGCCTTTTTTCTACCTCTTTTCCCGGTTGAATTATGGAGGCTGCGGTGGAAATTATGAATGACAGTTTTGACAGCATTTTAGGTGCAAATGCAGGAGTCTCATCATTTCGGTACACAGTATGGAGACCCATTCGCAGAAACAGCAAGCTCAGATCCATCAGAAGAGTGAAATTTCGGAAGGTACTCAGATGGATGACATGCGTAGCAGCATGCGGTAAGGAACATTTTTCTATCTTTCAGCAGGCTTAATACAAACGCCCTGACGGCCCGTTATCCCGACAACAACTGCCCACTGCTCCGAAGTCCCATTGCTGCTTTGACATTTTATTTACTGTTGCCATGACGATTAACACATACCACGTTAAAAATCATTTTAACACAAACCATAAGCTTTCCATAAAGCTAACCAAGTGGTTTTTGTGCCTAAACCTAACGAGACCCTAACAATAGCGTTGTTACAACATAAGCTTTTAACAGTGATGTATAAGGGTTTTGGAAAGCACAAATTATGTTGTCCTGGCGATACTGTCATCATATCCGGGCCGTAATGTCAGTAAATTCGAGTAAAATACAGACTTCGCTTATCCCATGCGAATGCACCGCAAGAAACACAGATGTGGGGGGGTAATTTACATATTACCAGACGTCCCCAGGTAATACTAATCCCGTGCGAATAGGGCTTTAGATTCCTCCTTTTCATATTTAAAGTGAGCAGGACTCTATGTAAAATGACTATGTAGGTTAACAGGTATCTAACCATTGCTTTGCACGCCAAGATAGAGTAGGGCTTTATAGCTCTAGCAAAGCATGTCTCTAGAAGACAAATCTATTGATATTGAGTTCATGTTGGGTTTCCTTGTCTCTGGTGATTTTTGCAGCTCCTCCTTCAGTAAGCAGTCACTCTTGACTCGATATAGAATATGATTACAAATCCAGTACAAACACTTCCAATCACTTTCCAAGTTGCTTCCTGGAATGTGAATGGATTACAGGAAGGCACAAAAAAACATAAAGTTTTATATCACTTAGGGAAACGATCCTCCGATATTTTATTCCTTCAGGAACTTCACTTCAAAGCAGGGCAAATAGAATACCTCAGGAGGCAATGGGTGGAGGAAGCCTTTGAAGCGGCATTTACTTCTAGGAGCAGAGGCGTGGGCATATT